AAAGGAGCTGGCTCAGCTCAGCTAGGAAGGGTCACATGCCAGGCACAGTCAGGGGAGGTGCTGGGAACGCCTCAGCCTCCATCATTACCCCTGTCTGCAAAAGCTGCCTGATCCCAGCCTGTCTTCCTCCTCCACCCCGATACGGTATCTCCACATCTTACTGGGGAAACTGAGGCTGTGAGGGACAGAAATAGCTCATCCCCATCTATTATTAACCTGCTCGGGCTGCCATAACAAAGTCCCAGAGACTTTTACAAAAACAGCAGAAATGTCTTTTCTCACATTTCTGGAGGCTGGGAGTCTGAGATCAAGGTGACAGCAGGGTGGGTTCCTTCTGAGGCTTCTCTCCTTGGCTTGTAGACGGCCGCCTTCTCCCTGTGTCTTCACATGGTCTTCCCTCTTGTGTGTGTCTGTGCCCCAATCTCCTCATTTAAGGACACCAGTCATATTGGATTAGGACCCACCCGTATGACCTCATTTTAACTTAATTACCTCTTTAAAGACCCCCATCTCCAAACACAGTCACATTAGGAGGTGCTGGGGGTTAGGACTTCGACGTATGAATTTGGAAGGGGGGCATGTAATGCTGACCATGAGACATGATGAGACAGGGAGAGCCCCTTCCCTAGGGAGACAGAAACAGGGAAGCCAGACCCAAATGATTCCTTAGGCCCAAGGCCACCTAGACGGAGGGAGAATCCGACTGCTGCTCCCAGGAGAGGGGAGGCTGCTGACAGGAAGGCAGTACTAAGTCTGGTCCACAGGGCGAGCTGGGCTGAAACAGAAGTCAGCAGGTGGATCCTGGGGTCCGGGGAGCCGAGTGGGGCAGGTGAGAGGCCCAGGGGCAGCCGGGGTTCAGAACTACCTGTCACGGGCTTCCTGGTGGGGGGCCTGATGAGCAGGTGTGTGCCAGGCTGTGTGTGAGCATGAGTGTGTGAGTGTGTGTGCGTGCACGCTCCCCCCTCAGACTGCAGGGAGTTGTGTTGGGTGTTTCCAAAGTGGGGCGGGTCCAGGCCAGCAAGTCCACCCGAGCAGCACCCCTGGAGCACTCCTCCTTCACCTCTGGAACTGGCCGAGCTCGGCTCTGGGTTGACCCTTCCTTACCCCATCCATCTTCCTTCAGGGAACCTTCTAGCAGCTTTTCCTTCCCAAGCCCATTCCACGCTCCGTGATGCCCGGAGCTGAGAGCTCTTTGTGAGATGCCGGCCAGCGTGCAGCTCAGCACACGCACGTGTGCACACACATTCACACATCGTGTCTCCAAAAACTTGATCTGCTGGCAACTCCCGCAGTCTCCCCTTCCTCCCGGCAGCCCCACCACACCAGACGGCTTCCAGGGCCTCCCCTACCTCCCTGGGAAAACTGGGGCCCAGAGACATCAAGCAACTTCCTTTAGGCTCCAGAGTAATTGAGCCATAGAGCTGAGATTAGTGCTGGGGTCTCAGGAACACCCCCGCCCCTACTCAGCCCACAGAGGGGTCTCAGGGCCCCAGAGGATAGAATGATTCATGGGTGGTGATGGGGGGGCGGTGCTGTGTGTCATGATGACCCCGGTACAAAATGGTAGTACCCTAATACCATCTTTTCTGGCTCCCTTTTCTAAATGCTAGTTGCCTTCTTAATATAAGTTGCTTCCTGTTTCAGAAACTCAGTCTCCTTATCTGCAAGGTTGCTGAGAGAGATCAAGAACCCCCAGCCCAGCAACCCTGCCCTGACTGGCCATCCAGTCTCCTCTGGGATGCCCCATGGAGGGCGCTTTCATTAGCCCATGGCATCCCAGTCAGTGCTGGGCAGCTCATTCAGAGAATTGCATTCATTCAACAAAAATCTGAGGGCGGAGGGGTGCACGCAAGCACGTTTCTCCAGACCCTTTCTCCGCACCCCTCTGAGTCTGCTGCCTATCTGGTGGCCCTGCCCCACTGTGCCTCCAAGGGGTCCAGATGGCTGGCCCTGCCTGAGGTTGGGACGGTGAGAGGGCCAAAGGGGACTAAGTGCCTTAGTCTTAGCAGCCTCCGGGGTCTCCTGGGGATGGTAAACAAGACAGGGCCGGTGGTTCTGACATCCACATCCCTACCCTGTCCACCCGGCCTGAGCGCTCACAGCTCAGTGACAACTGGTGCCCTTCTCCAACCCCAGCAGGACAAGCACAGTGGCCTCTCCCCATCTCAGCTCAGTACCTGCAGGTCATGGACATCCCACCACCTGTAGCAGTGCCCCCTCCTCCCCTTGGTCTTTCAGCTACTCAACATCCCTGTGAGGTGGCTGATGTCACCTCCTCAATTTTAGAGATGGAAACCGAGGCTCAAAATGGGAAGCAAGTTGCCTCGTGAGTGTGGCAGGGAGAAGGCTTAAACTTGAGTCCTGAAGCCTCCGTTTGCCTGCTTCCTGCTGCTTAGAAAGCAGTTGGTTGGCTGCTGTGCCCTGACCCAGGTCATTACCCCAGATCCCACATGTGTGCCTGAGCCAGCTTCGCCCCAGGCAGCAGGGACACCTTCTCAGAAAGTCCAGTGGTAACCGTGGGGCAGGGATTCCATGCAGCAGCAGGGAAGGCTCCCATCTCTCCAAACGCCTTCCTATTCTCATCTGGGACCAGGCTGCGCATCTCTACCCCATCATCGGCAGCTGGCTTACCTTGCAGGGCTGCAGGACGTCTAGTGGAGAAGGGTGGCCTGAGAACAGAGTTCTTCTGGGAACAGAGGGAGCAGTCTGATGGTTAAAGCATGGGCTGCCTAGAGGACCAGGGACCAGCTGGTCCTAAGGACTGCTCAAGCAGGGCCCTAAGGAGTCACACAGACCAGATGCCACTCCTCTTAGGACACTTGACCCAGGGCCTTTGTTGTGGCCCAAGCCAATTGCCTCATTTGTTAAATGAGAAAATTAAACCACAAATTAAAAAACATCAGACATAGACACCAAAGCCTCAAGGGCAGGGAATTTTTAGTTCATCGCATTTATGAGGAATTGGGTGTGAACATTTGTGGAACCATCAAGGTTTCATTGATGGTGGTAACATGATAATATGCATAAGCGGCAAGTAACCACCATAGCACTGATTAGGAGTCTCCTTGGGACGGAGGTCTCTGCGAATCACTCAGTGCAGATCAACAGTGATTTGTTAAAGACTTGTTCAGTGCAAGGCCTCGTAGATAACTCTCACACAAGGCAGGATGAGAGGTTCCCTCAGAGAAGGGCAAAGCTCTGAGGAAATTCCCAGGAGTAGAGGTCATATCTTGGAGGGCTTCATGGAGGAGGTGGCATTTGAGCAGGGCCTTAGAGGAAGATTCGGATTTGGATGTGTGCAGATAGGATAGGAGAGAATCCAATGTAGAGGGCACAGCATGAGCATAGGAGGGGCGGTAAGGCAGCATCAGCCAGCACTAAAGCCAGAAGTTGTCCAGTTATGCTGGCAGCAGGAGCCTGGGAAGAGGAATACTGAGGAAAGGGGAGCCTGGAGCTCATTGTAGAGGGCCCTGAATGCCACGCTCAGGCACAAGGTGAGTTCTGTAAGCAGAAGGGACAGTCTTTAATAATACACTTTTGCATTGTGTTACATAAATTATAGAGCGATTTCTTGATTCTCGAAAACAAATGACGACACAACATCAAAGGTGAGAAACATGGCTCAGGGGTCCACTGGAGTCTCTAAGAGCATGTCCCTGCCCCCTGAAGGGAGGCTGGCTGCAGGCACACATGTGGGATCTGGGGTAATGACCTGGGCCAGGGCACAGCAACCAACCCAACTGCTTTCTAAGCAGCAGATCCAGAACTGGTTCTCAAACCTCAGACCTCCCCATCTTGGTCCTTCCTGTTCCTTAACAGTGACCAACAGGTGTTGAGCTGGGAGTAAGGAGCCAACAAGGTCCCATCTGTGTCTGGGAGAAACAAATCCCTCTGGCTGCTATAGGGGGGAAGGGTATGCCAGGGAAGGGAAGAGCTGGGGAGAGGTGAGACCCACTTAGACAACATTATGTTGTCATAGCAACAGGAATGAAGCCAAAGCTGGAGCAGGGGCCTGGGGGTGGAGGTCAGGGAAAGCCGGGGACAGACCAGAGAGCCAAGAGGTAGAATTGCTACAGCTTGGCGGGATCCTGTGAGGATGGGGTGAGTGGCCAAGAGAAGGAAGAAGTCAAGCCCGAGACCCCAAGGCCCACGTTTGGGTTTGGGGGACGAGGATCAACTTCCCAGTGTGTATTTGTGGGGTGGTACATATAGGGGGTAGGGGGCGATGTGGGATCCCTGGGGACCCTGCACCATCTGAGGCAGCTGGAGCAGTAAAGGAGTAGAGGCTTGGGTTTGAAAGCCAGGTGGCCTCAGGTTCAACTCCAGCTGCTGGCCCCTTTCACTCATGTGACTTGGGTAAGTTATTTAAGCATCCGGCACCTTCATTTGTAAGAGGTAAGAATAGGCTCTCCAAAAAGAGAAGTTACTGATAGAAAACGGGGTGAATCAATGGAGATCATAATAATACCTGGTTCAAAGGCTTGATGAGGATCAAATAAGCCACTGCGTGTCATAATAATGCATGAATAATAGTTTAATTTTAATAAACAATGTTAAATCGTTAAATACGTACTGTACTGTACCATTAATAATGGTAAGAGTGAAAACTTACCGCCTCGGCATCACACTTGCTCTTAGCCCTCCTCGCACATGACTTCGGTAAGTCCCCACAATAGCTCTTTGAGACAGAAACAATTTTTAGACTCATTTTACAAACGAAGATGCCAGAGGATAAAACCTCTTTAAACCTTCACAACGCTTTGTACCGGCATTAGCTTTACCCCTGCATCGCAGATAAAGAAATGAATCAGCAGCAAGAGGGCAATTAACGCACCAGCAAAGGTGGAGCCCGGCTTGGAGCCTTGAGGATGGAGAGCCGGGCTGAGCTCCGCTCGGCTGGGAGTGGATGGCCCTCTGTAAGGGTGGGAGGCTGGGGTGCCCTGGAGTCTCAGCACGGCCTCTCCTGACCACTCTGGGGTCTTTCTTCTGTCTGTCCCCAGCCTCTGGCCGCTCCCACCCGGCCAGCCCCAGTCCTCCGGGGCTGCAGGCCAGCCCGGTGCTGCCGGTCAGCTACCGCCTGTCACACACGCGGCTGGCCTTCTTCCTGCGGGAGGCGCGGCGCACGCCTCCCGCGATCACCAACGGCTCCCTACAGCGCTCCGAGCCCTTCGTGGTGTTCCAGACCAAGGAGCTGCCCGTCCTCAATGTCTCCCTGGGACCCTTCAGCACCAGCCAGGTGGTGGCCCGGGAGCTCCTGCAGCCGTCCAGCACCCTGGACATCCCCGAGCGCCTGACGGTCAGCTGGAAGGTGCGAGCCTTCATCGTCCACCCCCGCGTGCCTGCCTCGCAGCCAGTGGCCCAGGTGCTGTTCTACGTGGCCGGCCGGGACTGGGATGACTTCGGTGTCACCGAGCGGCTGCCCTGCGTCCGCCTGCACGCCTTCCGGGATGCCCGGGAGGTCAAGAGCTCCTGCCGCCTCAGCGGGGGTCTGGCCACCTGTCTCGTGCGCGCCGAGCTGCCCCTGGCTTGGTTCGGGCCCCCCGCCCCGGCCGCACCATCCACTGCTCGCCGCAAGTCTCCAGATGGGCTGGAGCCCGAGGCCACAGGGGAGAGTCAGCAAGCCGAGCTCTACTACACTCTCCACGCCCCGGATGCGTCCGGAGGCTGTGGAGGAACACGGCGGGGTGCCGGGCCCGGAGGCGGGGCCCGGGCCGAGAGCCCGACCCAGCATCCCCTGCTGCGCATCGGGAGCATCAGCCTGTTCCGTCCGCCCCCCAGAAGGACCCTGCAGGAGCACAGGCTGGACAGCAACCTGATGATCCGCCTGCCTGACCGGCCCCTCAAGCCCGGGGAACTGCTCAGCATCCTCCTCTACCTGGCCCCCAACTCCTCCTCTCCCTCCAGCCCCAGCCTGGAGCACTTCACTCTCAGGTAGGGGGTATGGGCGGGGGTCTGGCTTCCCTTCCAAGGTCAGATGCACACCTGACCCCTTGTAGAGGGCTCGCCCAGACCTGCCCATCCAGCATCCTAATCCCAGTTCTTCCAGTTATCACTTGAGCAACTTCAGGAAGACAGCTCACTTACCTGAGCCTCGGTGTTCTCATCCTCCTGATGGCCACAAAAAATGTCTGCCCTGTCCTCCCTACCTCACAGAAGTGGTGTCATGGTGAAGAGGAAACATCCATTTCCACAAGCATGATATCCAGAATGGTAGAATCGGGGCTGGAAGGGCCCTTAGACATTAGTGGGTGCAACTCTTCTATTTTACAGATGAGTAGACTGAGGCCTAAGAGGAGAAATGGAGATCAGAGAGCAGCCCCTTGCCTGGGAGCCAAAAGATGAACAGGAGAGTGTCCATGTGTCAGGACATTTGTCTAATCCTGGAGTGGGGAGAAATATTTTCAGGAGTCCTAGCTCTTTCTTTGTGAAGGATACAGTTCACAAATTCAGAAATGCCTTCAGCCATAGCACATCCCCACAAAATATAATGATGTCTCACAGTAGGAATCCATGGTTTGAGCCATGTTGGGTGATTCTGAGGATATAAGAAAGGCCCCACCAAAATGCTCACCACCAACCCAAGCACTATACATGGGACCTGAAACAGCACCATTAACCTCCAGCTTCTTTAAGTATTGCCTTCTGTCCTGAATGTACTACCTTAAAGTTCAAGTATTCCTGGAGAGAGTCATACCTAATTCAGTGATTAATACCTGAATGTGAATATGAGTTAAATCAGTCATCAGAGATCTTGGGCTGCATTAATAGGAGTAAAGTATGTAGAATTAGGGAGGTGATAATCATTCTGCTTTAGTTAGTGTTAATTAGAGCTGAAGTGTTGTATTTAGTATAAGACACTACACCTTATGTATTCAGAGGAAGGTGACTAGGATATGGGTGACTTGAAGCTATGGCAAAAGAGCAACAGTCAGAGGAACTGAAGATTTTAGGCCTGGAGAAAAGACTCAGAGGACACCTGCTCACCTCCCCAGATGTCTGTTCAGGTGGAAGAGAGTTGTCCTCCCTTCCCCCAACAGAACCCACGGCTGTTCTATTTCAGCCACATACAGGGAAGAAGTTTCTCCTTTTAGGGACTTTCTAAAGATGCAATGGGGTGTGTGCAGAAGTAGTGAGTCCCCTGTCACTAAGGTATGCAAGTAGAGGTTAGGTAAGGACCTGGCAGAGATATAATAGAAGGGACTACAGCTTCCACTAGGGCCAGAGGTTGAAGCTACATGATACCAGATCCCCCAAATTAGTTTCAGGCTTTGAGTCTAGAACTCAGGGTAACTTACGCACCTGCTCGCCCTTCTCCCAGCCCCACCCTAAGGATGGTAGGCAGGTGGGCAGCCCTTGGACCCCCAAGCTGACCCTCTCCCTCTTCTTCTTCCTGCTTTGTCCCAGGGTGAAGGCCAAGAAGGGTGTGACCCTTCTAGGAACCAAGTCACGGAGTGGCCAGTGGCACGTGACCTCGGAGCTGCTGACTGGGGCAAAGCATTCAACAGCCACCGTGGATGTGTCCTGGGCCCAGGGCACACCACTGCCCCTCTGGTGAGCCAAGGTGGCTCGTCTTCCCACCTCTTTGCAGGACAGCACCAGGGAGGGGTGGGGGAATCCTTGACGGAGGAGGCCAGGCCGGTGGAAGGGCCGGGGCGTACTTTCTGGGGACCCTGGAGGCCAGGCTGGGGAAGGCTCAGAGGGCCCCGGGGAAAGGCCACTGAGGAGGGCTAGGGTCCTCAGCGAGGGTTTCGTAGCTCCTGAGCTGCTCCCAGCCCTTCCTTCTGGGCTCTCCTTCCTTCCCCCACCGCGCAGGGAGGACCAGGGGCCCCTGGAGATCCTGCAGCTGGACTTTGAGATGGAGAACTTCACCAGCCAGTCAGTCAAGCGGAGGATAATGTGGCACATCGACTACCGCGGCCACGGTGCCCTGCCTGACCTGGAGCGGGCTGTCACCGAGCTGACGGGCATCCAGCGGGACGTGCAGGCCATCCTGCCCCTGGCCATGGTGAGTGCACTCACGGGAGGCAGGTGAGCTCTGCGCCTGGTACTGGAGTGGGCCAGCGGCTGCTGAGGGGCACGGAGGTGGGAGAAGTCCCCATGGAGGGGCCACTTGGTGGGGGGCTTCCTGGATGAGGTGACCATGCAGTGGAGCTTTGAAGGTCCCATGGAGGAGGGGATCATACAGTAGTCAGAGAAGATGAGGAAGGTGCTTTAGGCAGGGGATCTCCTGGGCAAAGGTGTGGTGATGGGAATGGGGATAGTTTGTTCAAAGGAGCTATGGGTTTAGGAAGAGTGCCGGGAATGATTGTCTGGTGCTCAGGGGCACGTGGAATAGCCAGGCAAATGTGCTGGACGTTACTCTGAGTCCGGAGGAGCATGGAGGATGTTGAGAGGAGATGGTGGAGGATTGGGGAAGCATTGTTTTCTGGCAGCAGAGTGGGGTAGATCCTGAAGGCTACCACGGGAGTCCAAGTGAGCAGAGCGTCTGAGAAGGCACGCGAGACCGGGTAGATGCATCTGTCTGCCCACGTCCCCAAGGGAAGGATACGCATCTGAGGAGTGGGGACAGCTGGGAGCTGCCGGGGCTTGGCTGGTGGTACTGGGAGAGCAGGGGACCTCAAGCAGCTCAGCAGAGCCCCGCCCTCCTCTCTTCCCTGCAGGACACAGAGATCATCAACACAGCCATCCTGACCGGCCGGACGGTGGCCATCCCTGTCAAGGTCATTGCCGTCGAGGTGACCGGCCTTGTCCTAGATGTCTCTGCCCTGGTGGAATGCGAATCTGACAATGAGGACATCATCAAGGTGAGCTTCCTGGAGGTGGGGGAGCCTGGGAAGAAGGCCTCGGGCCTTCCGGGGGAGTGGGACCCCAAACCAGAGGGGAATTCACATCCCAGGCAGGTCCCCTGGGTAGGCAAGAGGAGGGGAAATGGCAGGGGGTGAGGGGAAGAGCATCCCATGTCCAGCCTGAGCAAGGGGAGGTCCTGGAGGGCTTCCTACAGGAATGTGGAAGAGACCTTTTGGCAGGCTGAAAGGAGAAAGCAGCACTGACAACTTGAATTCAATCCCCAAGTCATTACTGAGCCCTTGCTGTGCGGCAGACACCAGGTAAAGCAATGGGGGGGGTCCTGGGGGGTCTCAGAGGCACGCCCTGAACCTGGGCGCTGGTGGCCAGGTGGAGGAGATCCAGCCCAGGGAGGAAGCCTCCAGAAGCTCGCGAGCTAGGCCGGGAGTGAAGGTTGTGTGAAGGACCCACTCCAGGAACACCCACCCCAGCCCTCCACCTCCCAAAGGCCTCGCCCTGAGCTCCTCCCCAGAGGCCCCCTCCGGGCAGAGGGTCCTCCACAGCCCAGCAAACAGGACGTTGATCTGACTTGATTGGCCCAGTTTGCTACCTCCCCAAGAGGGCCTCCAGATTTCCTCTGGCTTTGGACAGCGGTCAGAGGTGAGATGCGGGGAGGAGGCAGTGGGGCGGGCAGTGATGCAGGAGGGCATCCAACCCTGGTCCCTGTGGGATTGGTGAGCTGTTTGCCATGCCAGCCTCCAGCTGGTGCCAAAATCAAATGATTGGGCGACAGAATCTGTTTCCTGTTTCTGTAAATCCTTCAGCAGGGGGAGTGGGGCGCGGGTGCCCTCTCCTCTCGCGCTCTCTCTCTCTCCTCTCTCTCTCTCTCTCTCTCTCTCTCTCTCTCGCTCTCTCGCGCTCTCTCGCGCTCTCTCTCTCTCTCTCTCTCTCTCGCTCTCTCTCTCTATCTCTCTCTCTCGCTCTCTCTCGCTCTCTCTCGCTCTCTCTCTCGCTCTCTCTCGCTCTCTGTCTCTCTCTCTCTCTCTCTCTCTCTCTCTCTCTCTCTCTGCTCTGCCCTGGATCCCTCCTGGTCTCTGGAGCCCTAGGCTCACCTCCTCCATCCCCCACATCCAGGAAGAATGTCCTCTGAGTGAGCCAGAGCAGACGGCTTGGTACCACACACCCATGGCCTCCTGAGGGCTGGAAGCCTTGTCAGGCCCATGGGGCTTGCCACTGCTGGCAGGCTGGGATGGGGAGAAATGGGCCTGCTCCCAAGAGTCCTCACCCAGCACCTTCCTCTACCACCCAGACTCCCACACCCCCGCCCCAGAGCAGACCAGAACAGTCACCGTGACTTAGATACCAAAGGGAATTAGCAAAGATTCGAAATGGAATTTGTTTCCGTTCCCACTGAAATCCACTCGGGTTCTTTCAGGAGTCTGCCAACATTCTAAATGGGATTTGCCAGCCTTCAGCTGGGATTCTCTGCCTTCCGAAGTGGGAAATGACCATTTCTAGCAGAACCACTGTCCCACTCCTCTCCACCCACCCCCTGAGATGATTAAGAGAGCTCAAAGGAGTTTGGGACTGTCAGGGGCTCATCTGCACGGATGAACCACAGTCCCGGCCCCTCCTCACCCCCACGAGAGCATTCAGGTTGTCATCAGCCCATAGGCTGCCTGATAGACCCTCCTCCAAACTCAAGGATGTGCACCCTGGGGCTTGTCCCAGTAGGAGCACCTACATGCATTGCACACAGGATTCACTCCAGGTGTGCCAGGTGTGTCCGTGGGCACTTACACAGACGCCCGTTGCATCTGTCCTGAAGTGCTAGCGGGGACACGTGAGTGGGCACAGCTGTCCACCAAGATGTGCTCAGTGAGCACGTGCTCATCTGGAGAGCCGTGAAGAACGCAAGGTGGTGTCCAGGGGGGCGTGCATTTGCAAAAGCTGCACCCGTGGGTGGCAGTTGTCCACCTGTCTATGCTTGGGGTTCTCTGGTCCTGAAATTTCCTCTCCCTTTCCCTCAGTTCCACCCCTGGCTGGAGCAGCCCCCTCCCAGAAATTAACCAGCTGCCCATCTGCCTGGGACCACTGGGCCAGAGGCACCTTGGAGGAGCTGTGGGCCTGCCCCTTCTCCCCACCCCCTCCACCTCGACCTCCTCCCCACCCAGTCGCACCCCAGCGTCCTGCTCAGGACAGGCTACTCCTGTGTACTGTGGAGGACTCTACCCATCAGACACCTGCTCCAGAGCCCAGGCGGTCATGCTGGGGAGGGGAGCCAGCGCTGGGGACCTGAAGACTCCCCCAGGGTGTGGCCTGGCACATCAAAAGCAGCCCCTTACAAAAATATTGGCACACTGGCTTCTTGCCAGGGAGCAAAATCCTCCCAAGGTAGCCACTAAGAGGTGATCTCTGGAGCAATGGAGTGGAAGCTGACACCTCCCAGAGGAATTAAATTAGGGGCCTCCTCCCACCCAGCCTCTCCCCTTCAGCCTCCTGTGACTGGCACTTTCTCTGTCCAATGGCCTTCTGGCCTTTCTTGTCAGAATGAGGTCCTCTGCACTGCCCCACAGGATGACCTGTAGGGCAAGACAGGCCAACCAACCTCTCTCCCCCTCCCCAGGTATCCAGCAGCTGTGACTATGTGTTTGTTAGCGGAAAGGAGTCTCGCGGTTCCATGAACGCCAGGGTCACCTTCCGCTACGACGTCCTCAATGCCCCCCTGGAAATGACAGTCTGGGTGCCCAAGCTGCCCCTGCACATTGAGCTCTCGGATGCCCGTCTCAGCCAAGTGAAGGGCTGGAGGGTACCTATCCTTCCTGACTGGAGGTATGGCCCCTCCAAACACAGCGGATGCTGGGGATACTCATGGGTGACACAGCCCTGGCACAACATCTGATCTGCATGTGTGTGTAAGGCCCTAGGCGTACACAGTCTGCAGGTCGGCTATGCAATCAACAAACTTATTGAGCAGCTCCTGTGTGCCAGGCACGGATGGGGGCAGGGAGGGGAGCAGGTAAGTGTGGCCAGAGCCTGACCCAGCTGAGCTCTGGGTCCATCAGGAAGCCGTCTCATATATACCATGGAGCGTGGTGGATGAAGGAAGCCCTGAGTACAGGGAAGCAAGTGGCACAAAGGAAAGAACCACCTCTTCCTCCAGAAGAAGTCAAAGCAGGCTTCCTGGAAGAGGTGACTCGGGAGCTAAGTCTTAAAGGATGAGTGGAAAGGAGTTGGCTAGGGAGACAGGGTAAGAGCAGTCAAGCAGCAGACCAAATGCAGCAGAAACACCAACACAGGTGCTCACATACCTGTACACACGTGCCCCAGCCTGGGCACACCAGGGGCACACTTGTGAGTACATCAGCCAGGCACACGGTGACCCCCCACTGGGCTCCCTCGCTGGGATACAGGCTCACACACCTGGGTGCCCATCTGTGGGGCAGGTCCGGGTGTACTCAGCACACTCCACTCACCCACTCATCGCTGCTGGAGAGAGAAGCCAGCAGGGAAGAGAAGAGAGGCAGAGTGACAGGCAGCTAAGAGCGGGAAGGGTGGAGCTGGAGAGAGAAGCAGGCGGCCTAGTGAGAGTTGGGATCAGTTCAGTTCTGCGGAGATTTGGAAAAGCAAGGCAGCATAGACCAGGGCCTCTTGAACTTGCACGCGACTTGCCCAAGGATGCTGTTAAAATGCAGATTCTGATTCTGTGAAACTGGGATGGGGCCTGTGAGTCTGCATTTCAGGCCAGCTCCCAGTGAGGTCGATGCTCCTTTGAGTAGTGAAGGACATAGTGAACTCTGAAGCCAGATGGCTTGGGGTGAAATCCTGACTGCTATTTGCTAGCTGGGTAACCTTAGGCTACTGTGCCTCAGTTTCCTCATCTCTAAAATGGGCACGTTTACACTTAGCTCAGCGGATTGCTATGAGGGTTAAAAGAGCCCTCTATGTGAATGAATATTTTGGTGGTTTAATCCTTCTGAAGCACTAGCCAAGCACTGGCCACACCCTTCTCTCTCTCCACAGCCTGCTTTCCTGGGTGAATCTCCTGATTTTCGTATTTTTGGCAATCTGGACAGGCTGAGAATTCCCCAAATTGTCAAGTCCTGGTTCCATTTTGCCTACCAGTTCCTCCCTCCATTTATCTGTCTCCTCTTGCATTTTACTCTGAGCAGCCAGAGGAAGCCAGGACACACCTCCCACACTCTGCTTGGCAATCTCATCAGCTGAATATCCAAGTTCTGTCTGCCACACAGCTGTAGGACACGACGACGCAGCTAAGCCTCCTGGCACTTGAGCAAGGATCACCTTTGATCCAAGTTAGAGCTGAGCCCAGCGCCCAGCAAGTGCTTAGTGCTGAGAAAGAGCCAGTATTTGCTAAGATTTGATGCCAGCTATTCACAGGTGTGGGCGCAGCCAGGCAGGGGACACGGGGTCGGGTGGGGGGTCAAGAAGGTACCTTTCTAGGAGAGGAAAGCCTGGGACGTCAGGCTCCAAGCTTGTCAGAGACAGAAGGGGTGGGCCAGGGAAAACCTTCCACCCACGGGAGCCGGGGAGGGGCTGGTGGGGCAAGAGGGAGGGAGGGACTCGTGCAGGTCAGAGCCAGGGTGGGGAGCCCTGAATCCAGGCCTCCCCCACCCAGATCAGCCCGGGAGAGTGAGGACGAGGACGAGGATGAGGGACGACGGCAGAGCGCGAGCCGTGGCTGCACCCTGCAGTACCAGCATGCCACCCTGCAGGTTTTCACCCAGTTCCACACGACGTCGGCGGAGGGCACCGACCAGGTGGTCACCATGCTGGGCCCAGACTGGCTGGTGGAGGTCACCGACCTGGTCAGCGACTTCATGAGGGTGGGTGACCCCCGAGTGGCACGCATGGTAGACAGCAGCACGCTGGCCGGGCTGGAGCCAGGCACCACCCCCTTCAAGGTAAGCACAGGGGGGCGTGCCGGGTGCCGGGAGCCTTGACACAGACATTCCTAAGACAGGATTTCCAGTGCCTCGGCCTCAAGGAGCAACCCCAGATGGGCCCCGCAGGCACACTTCCCCACCTGCCCTTCTGCTTGAAATTCTACCATCGAAGGTCACGAACCTTGGAGAAGCTTCTCTCTCCGAGCCTCATCAGCCTCTGTGAACCTTGCATGGCTCAGTGTGGTCGCTGAGAAATGTGGCTGCGGAGGGGAGGAGGTGGGAGGGCCCAGCCAGCGTAGAGACCAGAAGAGGGGATTTTGGAGATCTAGGGACTCAACTTTGACCTTCCTCCTTGATAACTGGGTGCCTGGGTAGATATCATCCATCTCAGAGACTATACATAGTGACCCATGGGCTGAAATCTGCCTGCAGACATAATTTTGTTTGTAAAACGATTGACCCAACCATTTAAAAATTGGGAGGTTTCTCATTTTTTAAAAAATGTAAATTTCTGGTTTTAGAAAATATGAGTCTGGCAGCACAGGGTGTGCATTCCCGCCTGACAATCATCAGCCAGAGTCAGTACTGCTGCCTTTTCTACATGAGCACGAGTTCTCCCATGTGCCCCAGTGCCCACCACTCCCTTTTGTCTCCCTGACATTGAGGCTGACCATCAATTGTGACTTATCACTCTACGGGAGGGCTGTTGTTTTCTTTAAAATCAACTCACCTCACTCATCTGTGTTCCTGCCTGGCTCCTGTGAGCCCTTGACCCTTGCTTGGCCTCTGGACCCTGGTTCCCGGTTGCAGACCTAAGGCAGAGCCCAGGAGTCCTGCCTCCCAATCTGCCCCACCCCCGGGCTTCTCTTCCAGCAGCACTCAGATTCCTCCCTGGCTGGAAATTTGGAGGGGGGGGGGGGGTCCTCTCCTGGCTCTCATCCATCCCCGCCCCACCCTGCCTCAGGTGGTTTCCCCCCTGGCGGAGTCCGTGCTTGGGGAGACACTGCTGACAGTGACAGAGGAGAAGGTCAGCATCACGCAGCTGCAGGCCCAGGTGGTGGCCAGCCTCGATCTCTCCCTGCGGCCCAGCCCCGGTAGCAGCCACACCATCCTGGCCACCACGGCCGCCCAGCAGACCCTCAGCTTCCTCAAGCAGGTAACTGGATGCCCAGCTGGCCAGCCTGGGGGCTTGGGGTATGGAAGGAGGACTTGCAGGTTCTGGCCACAAGCCCCCCGGATTAGGGATTTGATAATGGAAGATCTATCTACCCTTTGTGCCCTGCACACCTGCCCTACTGGGCTCGTGCCCCACCGTCTGCCCGGGAGTCTGGCCAAGGTCTCACTTCCTGCACCTGCCATGGTGAGAGGCTCCTGTTGAAGGTTCCCACTCCTGCATTTCTCAGAGGGCCCGTCACCTCTGCCTCCACCCCCCAGAATTACCCTCACCCATCTCTGGACCCCCAGCTATAGCCCCCCACTGATACGCCAGGGCACTGGCTATGGGACAAAGGTGGAAAAGTTACAGGTGGGGGGCACAGGGAGGGAGAAGGTGGGCACTGAACACCGAGCCAGAGGTCAGGACACAGGAGTCCTCTGCCCCAACTTGCTTCGTGACCTCAGACCAGTTGCTTGTCTCTGAGCCCTGCTTCTTCATCTGCAAGGAGGTCAAGTCTCAGAAGGTTTAACAGAGGACAAGGCTGGGGTTGAGTATATGTGCGTTCGCAGTCTCCACGTGTCTGCTGGGGGTGATCAGGCATGGAGATATGGTGTGACTCCTGCAGCAGAAGGGATCTGAGTTAGACCCGAGGCAGAATTTACCACCAACTCACCCGGGGCAGAAGGGCGAAGTGGGCAAGGACGTTCTCGGAGCAGTATGGGGCCATAACTCCCTGTACAGAGTTGAGTGGGAGAATTCCCCCTCAAATAACCATTCCCGAGCACCCACCACCTGCCAGGCACTGTTCCAGCACTGGGAAGCCAGCAGGAGTAGATCTCTGATTCCTGTCCTCTCCTCTTCCTCCTCCAGGAAGCCCTCCTGAGCCTCTGGCTCTCCTACAGCGATGGTACCACGGCCCCACTCTCCCTCTACAGCCCCCAGGACTATGGGCTGCTGGTGAGCAGTCTGGATGAGCGCGTGGCCACAGTGACCCAGGACCGGGCCTTCCCACTGGTGGTGGCTGAGGCCGAGGGGGCCGGGGAGCTGCTCCGCGCAGAGCTCACCATCGCCGAGAGCTGCCAGAAAACCAAGCGCAAGAGTGTGCTGGCCACGACCCCTGTAGGCCTGCGGGTGCACTTTGGGCGGGAGGAGGGGGACCCCACCTACGACTACCCCGGCCCCAGCCAGCCAGGGCCCGGCGGGGGTGAGGACGAGGCCCAGGGAGCTGGCCCGCCGGGCACTGCCGGATCCCCGCCCGAGGCCGTGGGCCCGGGCACCGCCAGCCCGGCGGTGCCACCCACAGAAGATTTCCTGCCACTGCCCACCGGCTTCCTGCAGATGCCGAGGGGGCTGACGGACCTGGAGATCGGCATGTACGCGCTGCTGGGCGTCTTCTGCCTCGCCATCCTGGTCTTCCTCATCAACTGCATCGTCTTCGTGCTGCGCTACCGGCACAAGCGCATCCCGCCCGAGGGCCAGACCAGCATGGACCACTCTCACCACTGGGTGTTCCTGGGCAACGGGCAGCCGCTGCGGGGGCAGGGGGAGCTGTCGCCACCCGCCAGCAACCCACTGGAGGCCGTGCCCGCCTGCTGCCACGGCGACCACCACAGCAGCGGCAGCTCGCAGAGCAGCGTCCAGAGCCAGGTGCACGGGCGGGGCGACGGCTCCTCGGGCGGCTCGGCCCGGGACCAGGCCGAAGACCCCGCCAGCTCTCCCACCTCCAAGCGCAAGCGGGTCAAGTTCACCACCTTCACGGCCCTGCCCTCGGAGGGGCTGGCCTACGACTCGGTGCCCGCCGGCGAGGAGGACGAGGAGGACGAAGAGGCCCTGGGATGGGGCTGCCCAGAGGCGGCGGGCACCGCGCGGCCCACTCCGCCCCCTGACCTGCACAATTACAGGCGCAGAGTCAAAGAGATGGCATAGAGGTGCGTCCCCTGCCCGCCACGGCCTGGGCTTCGTGTGGGACAGAGCCGGGACCCAGCTCACACTTGACACGGGCCGGCTGAAGTGGATCTTATGCTCCGGCCCCAGCAGCTTTGCTCCTCCCGGACGGCCTCCTCCTTGCCTCGCACCCTACCCTCCTCCGCCCCCAGAGGTGGAGGGGCCTTCCCCCTGGAGCTTGCTAAGAGGAGAGCAATCCCAGCCTTCGTTCTACCCTTTCCAACCCTCCTCCTGTCTTGGACAGACCCCTGTCCCAAGACGGGGGCAAGGAGGCCGAGCTTGCGCCAAGGGTCCACACAATGCCCCGCCCCATCCCCCCATGTCCTCTGCTTCCCCCTGTGTGGGGGGGCTTTGGGGGGGCCTTGTGTCACAAGCTGCACAAAGACTTTTCTCAAACCGCTATTCAGGGATTTCTGTCCTGCAGGGTGGGGAGGCGGCAGCTGCCTGCCCTGCCAAGGATCTTGCTGTGGACAGAACATTTGCGGGGCAGGGGATATTTGTAGCATCTGCTGGCTTCTGGGTGCCCCCCACTCCCTTCCCAGGACCTGGGAACTGACTCTCCAAAGGGGTCTGGGGCCAAGCCAGGCGCCTCTCTGAGATCTCAGGACTCCATCCTGTGCCCCCAAGGGCTGTGGGCAGGCCCTCAATGGGGAGGAGTCCTCAGTCCACCCCAGAGCACTGTGGTCCGGGTGCCTGGGAGCCCTGGGTACCCCACGCCCACCCCTCAGCAAGGTCAGCACTACGCCTTAGCCGTCCCTCCTGCTCTGCTGAGCACTCCTTCCTCTCTGCAGGGGCAGCCACCCGCCCCGCTGCTAGGCAGAATCCGGTGGGAGGGGGAGAGGGCGCCAGGCAGTGCTGGGAAGGACCCTGGGACAAGCAAGGCAGAAGGGAGCCCACGGATCCCCTACCCCATCCCACAGCCACCCCTCTCTCGGGTTCTACCCACCACTGTGTCGGATTTTTCTTAAGTAAATGGAGGCGACCAGACTGGGGGCGGGGGCAGCAGCAGCTCCCAGAGAACAGGCAGTACATGGTGGCTGGCTCTGTGTCTCTTCCTTGCGTGCAGGCGCGTGCATGCGCACACACACACACACACACACACACACACACACACACACACACACAGAGGTCACGCTAAATGACATGAGACGGAAACACGGCTGAGCCACCTGCGGTCCTGCTCCTCCTCCAACATCCAGGTCCCTTTAAACTCTGTGGTGCTGGGGGGATGCTCACCTCTGGGGATAGAGGACTCGCTGACCCAGAAATGTGCCCTTCTAAAGAGATGCCTCCTCTAGGAGAAGGGTAGGAGGGTACAGAAAAAGAAGGAGAGAGGTGAGAGGGTTGTGTGCACACCTGAGCTCACTCCAGTTTCCTCCTCTGCCTCAGTGCACCTCTCAGAGGGCATCCCTCCTCGTCACCATCACCACCTCCCAGGGAGGCCTCTCTTCTCCAGGGATTGATGGAGACAGTCTGGGGGTCTCCAAGTCAGAACGCCAGGCAGCAAAGAGCAATGGCTGTTGGGGGGCTCCTCCCTGCTCAGTAGGCCATGGGCTGGCCCCTCGCCCCGCATGGCCTCCCATGGCCCTGGGAGACCTCTCCCCAGCACAGGCAGCAGCCCCAGGGACCACAGGAGACCTGGGTGGGGAGGAAGAGCCCGGCCAAGGCTGCCTGGCCAGCCTCCAGTGCCCTGGACAGGTGGCTGCAGCAACCAGCATCTGCCCCAGAAGGGACCAGGGGCAGGACTAGTGCTGTGTTGGCACCTGCCCCAAATAGCTGTTGCCCCCACACACAGAAGGAAGCCTGCCTGTCACAATCCTCTGCTCAACCGCTCAGGGCAGCCCCGGGGCTGTCGTGAGGATTAGATGTGATCGTGTCTGTAAAGTGCTGTGCGCAGTGCCCAGAAGCAGACAAAGTTCCCGGCACAGACCCTGGCACACAGAGATGCTTAATAAATGGAGTTTGTTGCATCCAGGTCTTAATGTTCAGGTAAGATGTGGGCCTGAAAGAAAGACTTGAGATTGGCCAGCTCTGCCCAAGATGTGTTGGCAACAGAGAATAAGTGTAGCTCAGCGGCAAGGAAGCCGGGAGCTGCTGGAAAGCCATGCAGGGCAGAGCGTGAGGCCTCTCCTGGAGTGTCCAGGACATCAGGTACCTGCTCTTCAAATGTGCCCTGACGGTGCCCTCCTAGAGGGTCCTAGGGGGTGGGCAGGGGGGCCCTCCGTCACTTTTCATCACCCGTGGTGCCCAGAATTGGCAAGTGCTCAACAAATATTTGCTAACTCAAGTTCAGACGCAAACTATCAATGGCTTCCCTGTTATCCCTCATTTGGGGATTTTCCATACTCTGCCACCTCACCACTTACCTGCGCAGTGTTCCAGAGAGAGATGAGGAGGACATAGGTGTGTGTCAAGGAAGGATGGACAACCCAGCTTGGGTGTGTGTGCACAGGAGGGGTGCTGGTATGAAAGCTGGAAAGTGGATGCAATTCATTTATTCAATGCATTAAGCTCCTACTATGTGCCAGCTCCTGCCAGGAAAAGAGGCAAAACCGTGGGCTTGTCGCCAAGGAGCCCCAACCCCGCGGGGGAAGATGGACATAGCCGCTGCCCATGGTCGCCTGGGATGATGGATGATAGAGTTTTGCCCTGGGTTGGTGGGGCGCAAAGAAGGGAGGGGGAGACATACTCAAACTGAGTTTGCTGAGGACAAGGCCAAGGACATTCCAGGAAGGGAGAATAGTGGGTGAGGAGGCCCAGAAGCTGCATACTTGACACCATGGGGCTTGCTTTTGCTGCCTTGTCTCTGCACATGCTTTCCCCGTGCCTGGGCTTTGGGTCCCTGATGGTGGAGAAACACACAAAATGTATACGCTGAAGAGTGGAGGCCAGAGGGAATATGGTAGGTTCAAAATGGATGGGGAATCAGGCTTGATTTGAGGTTCAGATCATTTCCCTCTTGCTGGGTGAAGGAAAGAAGGGTGCGAGGGGCAAGGGGACCAGTTAGGAGGATGCTGCAGCAGAAGGACAGTGGCAACAGAGAGCTGGTGGACACAGTAGCATTCACTGCAGGATTTGCCAACTGTGTTATTCCCACGTGGGAATGAGGGGAGGACACCAGATGCTGCTGACACCGAGATCTCCTTCCCAAACGAACCTCAGAGAACACGCTGCTCCAGGGGAGACCACAGAAGCCGGCCTCATGGTGGTTGTCAGCATCCATGCTTTCACAAACGGGGAAACGAGGACCCTGAGAGGGGGAGCGGTTGGTTGATAGTCACACGGCGAAACTAGCAGCAGGGCCAGAGCCCTGCCTGCCACCCTGGCTTGTAATTTGTGTCCCTTTCTCTTCATTCCTCACCCCCTGTCCGAAGGCAAGAACTCAGAAGCAATTGCTAGAAATGGCGAGACCTGACCCTCACGCGGTTCAAGAGGCAGGAAGCTTGGAGGCAACGAGGTGGGACATTAAGTTAACAGCCCCTGGAATGGCCCGGGCGCTGAACTCCTCTTTAAAAATTTGTATTCAATCCCAAAACCAAATCAAGGGACCTTGTAAAGAATAGTTATTGACAGAGAGCTGCTCAGGGAGCGCCAGGGAACCAGGCCCATGAATCAGCTTGCTGGCAAAATGAGATTTCTCCAACATCGGGGGCAGGCGAAGGCTGAGCCGGGGTGTGGAGAAGCCACCCTGAGCCTGTCCCCTGCCCGAGGTCAGTGCTCAGCTCGGCTCCCCTCTTCACCCCCACGCCACCCAGGATGTGCCTAGAAACCTGTCTTCAACAAATATTGACAAGCACCTACTATGTGCCAGGCACTGTGCCCCCCTTAAGAGAAGGCTTCAGGGAGAAAGGGAGAGACTTGGAGCCAAGCTGAGAACCTGGGAAATACAGTATATGGACCAGGAAAGGAAACTCTCATTTAAAGGGATAAAACTTCTTAAGACAGGTTGGCAGGGACTCCTGGGGTCTGACGGTGCATTTGCTGTGTGACCTTCAACCAACACAAAACCAGCTCTGGGCCCTCATTTCTTCACTTGTATAAACATGGAAGTCACCGCTACTAGACAGTATTCACTGACCTCTCTGAAGGGGCTGTGCTGTTTTAGCACCTGTACTGCACAAAAGTCCAGGGAGATAGGAACTACTAACTCCTATTTTATAGATGAGGAGACAGGCACACAGAGAGTGATGGTAATCTGCCCAAGGTCTCCAGCTTAGAAGTAACCTCTGGGCAGCTACAAACCTACCCTCTTTCTGCTACATCCTGAAGCAACTGATGATGTTGGCAACTGAAGGGAAATGATGTTGGAGAGATCAGAAGGTGCGAGGGGCATACAGAGGGGCCTCTAAGGATTTGATGTGCTCAAGTGATGGGGGAAAGGCTGTGGGACCCCCATTTAAGGTATAGACCATGGATAGTGTTGGGGGGCAGATGGAACACAGTAAGCGCTACAGCCTCTCTCCCATTTTTAGAGGGAACACTCTCCCTCCCCTACTAGAAGCTCCACCCCCAGCTGTCACAACAGACAGCCATCCAACCCTCTCTTGGTCACCTTTGGAGCAGAGAACCAGCAGGGCTTTCCTGAGCAAGGTGTTGAGCTGGGCTTGTTAGGAGAGCGGGCAGCACACACAGGGAAGTGGGTGTGAGTTGCACCTGCCGTTTTGCTTGGGATACTGGCTGTCCCTTCAGCCTCTGGAGTATAAGCAAGAGAAACTGGGAAGCTGAGGCCATCCCTTAGGCCCCCACCCTGGCTACGGTAGCACAGTGAGTGTTTATTAAATCCTTATCATAGATCAGTCAGAGTGCCAAGCACAGGGGAATCAGGAGGATTAAATAGCCATCACTAACATTTCCTGAGAGCTCACTCCACGCTAACCATTTTATATCCATCATTGCATTGAGTCTTCACAATAACCAAGTAAGGTAGGTGCTATCATTATATCCATTTTACAGATGACAAAACTGAGGCTCAGAAGTTATGTAACTTGTCTCATGTCACACAGCAAACAAATAGCAGCGCCAGGATTCATACCCAGGTTACATTGGCTCAAGTCTCCTCTCTTCCCTCTGCCCCACACTGCCCTCCTCCGTGGGGACCAGGAGTTCAGAGAATGATTCTGACAGTGTCAAGCGCACTGGGCTGGGAGTCCAGGGCCTTGGTGGGGGTTCTCTCTCTGCCATTGACTAGTTGTGTGGCCATGAGCCTGGCACTGCCCATATCTAGAACAAGCCAGGACCCTCAACTAGAATCCAGGGCCAGATGCCCCCCTCAGTGCCTTCAGTCTTAATGGTTTTCAGGTCTGCAGGTGTGAAGCCCAGGGCACTGCCCAGCCCTGCTAGTTTATACCTTCCACCCTCCACCCTCTTAGAGATGCTGCGGGCAGGAGGCGGGTAACAGTTTCAACGGTCCTCAGCGGTTCTCCAAGCTTTGCCAGTTCTGCCGTCCCCTACTTGATGCTGCCACTGGTAGCTGCTCCTGTGAGTTTGGACTTTGCCAGATTGTGTATGTGTGGGGTGTCCATAGGGAAGGAGCATGGGGGGATGGGAACCATCCCTGTGTCTTCCAGAGAAGCAGTGAGTCTCAGGGCTAAGACAGAGCTTGAAAGTTCAGCTTGTGGATCCTCTGCCCACAGGGAGCTCCCAGTCTGATGGAAGAGGACTGGGCCCTGTCCCATAGCAGCTTCCAGTCTGAGGGGGGGAGAATGACACACCCGAAGAAATGCCACCACGCATTCAGTGAAACATACGAACAGGTGCTAATAAGTGCAAAGTAACCTAGGTATGCACTTAGCCCACAGAGCAGAAGAAGTAAAATAAATGTGGAAGCTGGGAAGTTAATCCAGAAAGGCAGCCTGGACCAGGGCTGTAGGTGGGTTGCGGGGAGGCATTCAGAAGGGTCTACCAGGTGGCCAGGGATTCAGAAACAAACAGTTAAGGGTAAGGAGGTGGGATGGATTTACCCTGGTGGCTGCGGGATGGAGCCCCACAGCGGCCTGGCTAAGAGGAGTGGGCGTGGGAAGGGGGGGAAG